GACAGCTGGGACCTTCAATACAACCTGGCAGAGTTGAATCCTGGAGGAGGTCAGGGACCTCAGCTTGGGCCCTGCAGCCAGAAATCAGCCTGAATCTCAGTGGACTGCAGCTGGTTGGCTGAGACTAATTAACTCAGATCTGCACACTGCTGCCCACATTGTCTTCCAGGACAGCAGAGACATACTCTGAGGGAGGCCCTTCTTTTTATATTTATATAATATATAGTATATATAATATATATACTTTTCTTTTTCTTTCTCTTTCTCATTTCTTCTTCTGCATTTCTCTCCCACTTTGTTCCTGTTCTTGTCCCATTTTGAATTGCTTTTCTCTCTCTTTCCTTCTCTTGACTGTCACTATTCTTATAGGAAGGTGAATAGGGTTTCTAGCTTCCCTATTGCTGTTAGTTCATTCTGTTCTTTGTTCCTTTGCCTTGCCTTTTTCCTCTTGTCTTCAACAGTCTTCCAAAGTTTGCATGATCTTCTTGTGTCCTCTAGCCTCAAAGGGAAAGAACGAAAAACAAACAAAAGAGCCAACAACAGTAAAATATCATGACAAGTATAAGTCAATATGCATCAGTTATAACCATCAATATTAATGGCCTCAATTCACCAATCAAAAGAAACAAACTGGCAGAATGGGTCAAGAAGATAGATCAACAGTATGCTCAATACCCCACTGTTACAAATAGACAGATCATCGAGACAAAAAAAATCAACCATGAAATATTAGAACTGAACCAAGCTTTTGAACAAATGGACTTAATAGATGTCTACAGTGTTCCACTGCACAAAATCAGAATATATATTTTTTTCTGCTACACACATTCTCCAAAATAGACCACATGCTAGCTCATAGAACAGTTTAAGAAAATGCAAAGGAATTGAAATTGTCCCCTGTATATTATCAGATCATAGTGCAATTAAATTGGACATCAATACATAAAAACGCAAGAACCCCACAAACACATGGAAATTTAATAACACTCTCCTGAGAAACTAATGGGTCACAGAGGAAATTAAAGAAGAAATTAGACAGTTTCTCTAATTAAATGATAATGCCAATACAACATACAGGAATCTATGGGACACAAAGAGTGATTGTATGAGGTAAATTCATAGCAGTAAATGCCCATACTAGGAAAAGAGAGGGAGCTCAAATAAACAACCTCATGGTGAACCTCAATCTCCTAGAAGAAGAATAGCAAGACAAACCCAAAGCTTGTACAAGGAAGGAAATTCTAAAGATCAGAGCAGAAATCAATGCAATGAAGACAAATGATACAAGAAATCAACAAATAAAAGAGTTGGTTTTTTGAAAGAATAAATAAAATCAATAAACCCTTAACAAACCTAATCAAGAAAAGGAAAGAAAAGCCTCAAATCCATGCAATTAGGAATGAAAAAGATGAAGGTCTAATAGATCCAGTAGAAATCCAGAGGATCATCAATACCTCCTTCAAGAACCTGTACTCTAATAAAATGGAAAAAACAGAAGAAATGGAAAATTTTCTAGATATATATGAATTACCAAAGTTGAAGAAAGAAGATATAAAAAATCTAAACACCCAATTATAATCAGTGAAATTGAAAATGTATTTAAAAATTTATCAACAAAGAAAATCCTAGGTCCTGATGGCTTCACTGCTGAATCCTACAAGACATTTAGAAAAGAACTGTTGCCACTACTCTTTAAACTCTTCAGTGAAATTGAAAAGGAAGCAATGCTTCCAAATTCATTTCTGGAAGCAAGTGTTACTTTGATTCCAAAACCAGGGATAGGCACAACAACAACAACAATAACAACAACAACGACAAAGTGAGAACTACAGGCCAATCTCCCTAATGAGAATAGATACAAAAAATCCTCAAGATACTGGCACACAGAATACAGAATGCCATCAAGGAGATCATACACCCGGACCAAGTCAGATTCATCCCAGGGATGCAAGGATGGATCAACATACATAAATCAATAAATGTAATACATTATAGTAACAGAGCCAAGGGGGGGAAATTATAATCTCAATAGATGCAGAAAAAACATTAAAAAAATCCAACACCCATTCATGATAACCCTACAGAAAATTGGAATAGATGGTGCTTATCTTAACCTGATTAAGACTATCTATGAAAAAATCACAGCCAATATCATACTAAATGGTCAAAAACTGAAAGCCTTCATGCTAAAATCAGGAAGAAGACAAGGATGTCCACTATTACCACTCCTGTTCAATATAGTTTTGGAAACATTAGCCAGAGCAATTAGAGAAGAGAAAGAAATTAAAGGAATAAAGATAGGAAAGGAAGAAGTTAAACTGTCATCATTTGCTGATGATATGATACTCTACACAGAAGACCTCCGTCCCCCGCAAAAAAACTCTGCCAAAACACTTCTAGACTTAATTGACAGATTCAGTAGAGTAGCTGGATACAAGGTCAACACTAAAAAATCAATAGCCTTCTTGCACACAAATAACACACTTAATGAGAGAGAAATTAGGGAAACAATTCCTTTCACAATAGCACCCAAAACAATGAAATATCTAGGAACCAATCTAATGAAGGAAACAAAAGACCTCTACCCTGAAAACTACAACACTTTGAAGAAGAGATCCAAGAGGATATCAGAAAATGGAAAGACATCCCTTGTTCCTGGATAGGAAGAACCAATATAGTGAAAATGGCCATACTTCTAAAACTGCTATATAAATTCAATGTAATCCCTATTGAAATCCCAACAGTATATTTCACAGAACTTGAGAAAACAATCCAAAAATTCATTTGGAACCAGAAGAGACCTAGAATAGCAAAAGCAATTTTAGTCAACCAAGACATGACAGGGGGTAGGTATCACAATTCCCAACTTGAAATTATACTACAACATGTTTTAAAAACAACACAGTACTGGCAAAGAAACAGACCTAAGGATCAGTGGAGTACATTAGAAGATACAGAAACAACTCCATATGTACTCAGCTATCTCATCTTTGACAAAGGAACCAACCATCCTCACTGGAGGAAAAATGGCCTATATAATAAATGGTGTTGGAAAAACTGGATTTCAACCTGCCAAAGATTGAAACTAGACCTTTATCTTTCACCATGCACTAAACCAAAATCCAAATGGATTAAAGATCTAAACATTAAAATAGAAACAGTAAACTTGCTGGAAGATATGTTAGGTAGAATTCTCAAAGACATTGGCATAGGAAAAAGACTTTATGAACCAATCCTAGGGAGCATGGGAACTAGTACTAAGAATCAATAACTGGTATCTCATCTTATTAAAAAGCTTCTGCACTGCAAGAGAAACCACCAAACAGAGCAAGAAACAACTTATAAAGTGGTAAACAAATTTACCAGCTGTTCCTCAGACAAAGGTCTACTATCTAGAATATATAAATAATTTTAAAAAATCAGACTCCTCAAATATAGAGACCCAATTCAAAAATGGGCATCTGAAATGAACAGACATTTCTCAGACAAAGAAGTAAAAGCATCAAGTAAATATATGAAAAAATGTTTAACATCACTGGACATTGGAGAGATACAGGTAAGAATAATGCTAAGATTTCACCTCACTCTAGAAAGAATTGCTGCTATCAAGAAGTCAACCAATAACAAATGTTGGTGGGGTTGTGGGGAGAAAGGGACCCTTCTTCACTGTTGGTGGGAGTGCAGCCTGGTGCAACCACTGTGGAAATCAGTACAGTGATACCTCAAAAAACTAAGATTAGAGTCCCATTTGACCCAGCTATCCCTCTGCTGGGTATCTTTCCAAAAGAATTAAAAGAACCATACCACAGTGATATATGTGGACCCATGTTTATAGGAACACAGTTTGTAATAGCTAAAACTTGGAAACAGCCCAAGTGCCCATCAATTGGAGACTGGATAAAGATGTTTTTTTTTAATAAGATACTACTCAGCCACAAAGAGTGAGAGACATTTATAGCTAAGTGGATGCACACTGAGGCCATACTCTTTTTTTTTCTATTGGATATTATTTTATTTCTCAAGAAAGAATTAGAAGAAAGCTATTTCCCCCTATTTTCCATACCACCATGGGAATCTAATTCAATTTCTTCTCAAATTTTGTAGTGAAAACTAAAAGTTTAGAATAAGGTTGCTGTCTTGAAATAGCATTCTTTTACACAGATTTGACTTTTTAGACTTTGTCGTCATAGAACTATTTATTCAGTGAGGCCATACTCTTAAGTGAAATAAATAGGACACACATGTGTAAATACCAAATAAACAATCCAGTGTGAGAAATTGAAAGTGTAAATAAGAATTTAAACAAATAATTGATAATGTGAAATAGGAATAAAAGGTCCAAAGAGATAGGGGAAGTGGGATGAGTAGGGGAAAGGAAAGAAGTGAAAGGAAAAAATATGGAAGGAAAAAAAAAAAAAGATTTAAGAAGATGCATGAGGTCTTCCACCGGGAGGAGGTGGAGGGGATCTCTGACCTAGAAACACTTCCCTGCTTCAGTGAGCAAAGAACGCAGCTCACCCAGGCACCAGCTCAGGAAGTTTGTGATGTGGACCAAGCCAGGGCTTATGTCCTGGGGGCCCAACACTCTCCAGGCCCAAGAGGACCACCAAGCCCTAGCACATGGGTCACATCCGTCCTTCCACTAGAGTGTTATGCCCGGGATTCCCTGGAGCTTGGGAAGTTCCCGCGTTTCACACAGGGAGGAAGCAGTGAAGGATTAGCACACTTTCTCCCCAATTAAACACCGAATTGAACTTTTGACATTGGTCTTCCTAGTGGCACAAACTGTGATTTGATTGTCCTGCTAAACATCAGGATCGAAGCCAACACACTTGTGTGAAATCCCAGAAAGAAGTGATTAAACAGAGGCATTTGTGAGGACAGAAGGGAAAGCCCCAGCCCAAAGACGCTATTGAGTATATGACAAATAGAAACCCGACCCCACCCCATGGGACCCGATCCACCGCTTGTCCCCGCCCCGCCGGCGTCTCCTTCCGGATCAGAGCTGGGGAATCCCCAGCGCGGCCTCCCCGCTGCTCATAAAGGGGCGCAGCAGACGGGGAGCCCCAGTCCAGCCATGGCCCTCTCCGCCCCCAGTTCCCTGCGCCCAGTGCCGCTGCTGCTGCTGCTGCTGCTGGTGGTGATGGGAGCCACCCGGAGAGCCGCAGGTGAGACCGCGAGGACCATAGGACTGGGACGCGGACACTGGAACACCGGGACCACCGGGATGGAACCGCGCTCGCCCCGTCCCCCTCCCAGGGCGGGACACCGGGCCTTTCTTACCTTCCTCCCTGTCCTCCCCAGGAGCGCCTGCCAACACCGAGCTGCGCTGCCGCTGCCTGCAGCCTGTGCGCGGGCTGCACCCCAGGAGTATCCAGAGCGTAGCGGTGTCAGCGCCTGGACCCCACTGCCATCAAACCGAAGTCGTGTAAGTCCCCGGTCCCGCTGCCCGGCCCCACCTGGGGCCCCTCAGGCGGGAACCCTCACCCAGGGGCCCTGACGCAGTCCGGATGACCCCGCTCACGGCCTCCCTTCCTCCCGCAGGGCCACGCTCAAGGATGGACGCGAAGCCTGCCTAGACCCGGAGGCCCCGATGGTGCAGAGAGTCCTGCAGAGAATGCTGAACAAGTGCGTGGGGCTATGTGTGCACGGGGCGGGGGTCAGATTTGAGCCCAGAAATCATACCCGGAACTGGGTGCAGCTGCGGGACAAGGAGCAGGGTTTCCATCACTGACCTCCCCAGGAAGAGTATACATCTACCTGACCAGAAGGGTCTTTGCCAAGCCCCTTCCTACACTAAAGAGTGCTGGTAACTGTGATCCTGAGAGAGGTAGAATTGGCTGGTGAGGCTGAGAATCTCTCGCCCATTGATATCAGGGCCTCACGGGTCAAGGCTTGAAAGGTGGACCCAATGTTGTGGACTGCTGGGCCTTAAACCTCGGTGTCCACCCGCAGGCTTGGCCCGAGGCCCTCCTGGGTTCTGGAGGCTCCATGACTTATTCTGCGGTGTCTCGGTGCTGTGTGGGAAAACCACAGCTGTTTGAAGTTACTCTACAATGGGACTACAGGTTCCCTCTTCCTGGCCAACAAGCCTAGAAACCTGGTATTTTTTGCCTGGTGCAAGAGTGGGGAATGAGCACATTCAGAAAACCCGAGAGCAGTGCCAGGCTGAGAGGGAGAAGGCCGAGCAGTGGGATTTCCGAGCCCTGCTAACTGCAATCCTTCTCTCTTCACAGAAGCGGAGCCACCTGACCCCCAGAGGACTGAGCTGGTACCTGCACCTGTTTCTGGGGGAATTCTCCCAGGAATCAAAGGGAAAGAGAGGCAAGCTCACACCAGCGGGGGGCGGGGGGACTGTGCCTAATGTCTGTGACCATTTCTTATGAGAGTTTTTCTTCTATTTATTTGACTATGTATTAATTTATTTTCCATGCTTTAATATTTAAAGATGAGATGGTATTTTTTTCTAATATTTTATTGTACTGTTTTTTAAGGATCATTTTTGATGTTAAATCAAAGTTATTTTAGTACTAACTTAGTGAAATATTGTTTCATTAAACTTGTTGGGCACCACGCCAGTCAGGGAGGGGATGCAGAGAAGTAATGAGATGCACATTTGCCTGGGGGAGTGTGTGTGTGCGCGCGCACGGGTGCGCATCTGTTTTGTAACTGTTTAGATGAATGTCTACACAGCTGTTATTTATTGTAACACTTTCACAGAATGTAGTCAACATTTCTAATGTTGAAACCTTAAGAACTACAATGTTCTAATTATCCCTTGGACATTTTATGTCTTCTTTGTAAGGCACAATGCCTTGTTTAGCCATAACTGTGCGCTGTTTCTACATATTTTGGAGTAGAGATAGATTTATTGATATATTTTTAAAAATAACCTGAAAATAAAGCTTTTACAAAAATATCTTGCTTCTAGATTTGCTTTATGTCTGGGTCCCCCCCGGTACCCAAGGTGTCAGGGGGTCATAATAGATCTTGGCTTATGTCAGTGGCTGCCACCAGCTGGTTCTTCCCGTATTTTCTCTCAAGAAGACACATTTGATTCTTTTTCCAAAAAACTTCATAAAGACCTCAACCTTAAAAATCCATATTTCACATAAAATATTAGTTTTTTGTCTCTATATCTGACCCAGCTTTAAACACTTTGAAATTTCAATAAATATTTTTAAAATTCTCATTTATTTTTCTAAATGTGTTTCCAGACAATTATACATTCTTTTCCTCTCTTAAGAAAGTTGAGTGATAAGTTGTAGTTAAGTGGATTCTTTCTCAGAAATCAATCTGCGCAATAGTGGAAAGAAAAAAAATCAGAAAAAGGCAGTGGCTGAGTATGTAAGTGTATAGCACTAATTCAGAGGGGCTTCATTTCCTAACACCCAGGAAGGGAACAGTCACTAAATATAATGCCATTGCAATGCTTCCAAGAATAGGAAAAGCCTGAAAATCTGAATTTAAAGTACCCCACATGACAGGAGAATGAGCTTCCCGGGTAGGAACAAAGGCTACTCCTGCCAGTTCCTCCAGAGTTCCTTCAACTTCTTCCAGACTTGAGTCCTATGGAAAACCAAGTCTGAGAGGGAAAGAGTATGTGCAGGAGGTGGGGTGTCTGACTCAGGAGCTGGCCAGCACTCTAAGTTCTGGTCAACAGCCTGCAGCAGGAGGACATTGGCCCCTGGGGCCTGCACTTTGAAAAGCGAGTACCATAGTCTCTTCATAAATCCAGTGCTGTTCACCCAGAATGAATGAGACTGGTAGAAAACAGCCCTTATGCTGTACAACGGAAAAGGACAGCAAACCATTCTGGACTCCAGTCCATGCCAGCACTCCTTCACCTGAGCCGAGCACATGTTTCAGGCCTTGGGCAATAAAACTCCCTTGGATTTATCAGTGTTCCTGTAAAAAAGTCCTTTCCTCTTCTCATACCAGAAACTTCACATCTGTAGCCCTTTGTGTTGTAAGTTGCTCCGGCCAGGAGAATGATCAAATATTTCTACCACTATCTCTTTATCCTCTAAGGATCTGAAGTTGACATCTGGGATGAGGTCCCTTCCCTGGATTAAACAATGGGTGCCAGAGAAAATCAAAGTACCACCTCCTCAGTTATATGTGTCAAAGAAGATGCAGCCCCAAGAACTGAGAGGTAGCTCTAGGCCATAAAAGTGCAGACAATCTGGCTGTAGAAGATTTTGTCTATATACCGAAAGCTCAGTGCTGGGATTCAGGCTGCTGTATTTCCATGGAGACCTTTTCAGGGGCCAGAGACACCTTGTTCCTGCTGTCTTTTAAACAGAATATATATATATATTTTTTTTCTTTCTTATTTTTCTTGTCACTGGATGGTGGAGTGTCCCTAATGCAATAAAATAATGGGTGTGACTTTCATCTCATCCCAGAGGTGAGGCTAGGAAAGCAGGAAGTGGCTTGCTTAACCACTGTGAGATTTTAATAAGAAATCTGACCTGGTCCAGGTCATTCTGGGTAAAATTTTAAATACGAATATAAAAATATATCCATCTTATTAACCTGGGGCAGAGAAAGAAGAATGGAAAAGATACAATTGGCTCCTATTATAAATTTAGGCTAGAGGAACTGGATGCATGAGGGTCAGTTTCCAATTCTCACACCTTATAATGGAATCTTGAGGTCAAGTCTCTTCATTTTCCCCTTTCATAAAAGGGATACAGTAATACTCTTCCTGTAGTGTAGTTGTTAGTAGAATTATGTGTCCTGATTTTGTCACCAGACAGGGTCTGAGGAGGTTCCCCAGAGAGGAAATGGGGGCTTTAATGCATCCCTGCCCAATGGAGTAGGTAGTAGGTTGGCTGACTTACATTGCAGAAAAAGCATTTCATGATGCATCCAGTGAGAGGCACAGACAGATTTATTAGACAACTTTTTAGGAGATAGAGTCCAGGCTCCCAAGAGAGCTGCACTTTGGTCTGGGTGGTGGTATTGATGTGGGTTTTGTAGGTGTCCTCAAGATGGGAGATCTAGGATGAACATCCCTACTGTCTGTCCAGTTACCCATGGGTGGCTAGGTTAGGATGCAAACCATTTGCATGCACTTGAAGTTATGGATACGGTGTCCAGTTAACAGTGCTCTTTCATTGAGGGTAGAGGTCCAGAATGTGTGAATCTGTGGGGTGCAGGGCAATCACACAAGCCTATTTCAGAGGCTGATTGTGTCGCTAAGACAACACTTGGGAATCTTTGGGGTGAGTTTATTGGAGGGGAAGAAGCCAATATAACCTTGGATAATGCTGTGTCCCAAGGCTGCAGTTTGTCTTAAAAGCGCAATTGTGAAAATATGATTTTTCTTGTCTCCTTTTAACTTATCTTTATTTCTTCTATTCCACCTCACTTTGAGCAAACAGTTAAGCAGTGCTGGAGATATAATAGTGGCTTTTGAATTTCTGGCACATTTCAGGAGGCATTTGACTGAAGGAAGGGTCAGGATATTAGGATCAGGATATTCTGTTGCTGCCTTGGCAAGTCAACACAGTTGTAGGGCTTGAAACACCACAAATGCATTATCTCACACTTTTGATGTCCAGAAGACCAAACTCAGTGTTCTTGGGCTCAAGTTCAGGTGTCTGCAGGGTTGGTTCCTTGTAGAAACGCAGGAAGAATCTATTTCCTTAATATTTTCAGCATCCACAGGCCATCTCTGACTCTGCATCTTCAAGGCCACCTTGAACTACCGTTTCTGTCACCCTTCTCTGTCAGGTGCTTGCTGACTGACTCTGACTCCTCCTAGGTCTCTCTCATAAGAACCTTCCCATTATAACAGGCCCGCCTAGATTATATTGGGATAATATCCCCATCTCCATCTATGTAATCAGTTGTTTAGAATCCCTTTTGTAATATAGCCTATTTATAGTTTCTAGGGATTCAGACAAGAACATCTTTGTAGGCCGTTGTTAGGCCTACCACAAGGGCTTGAAGGCCAGTATTCAAGGTACCTTTTACTAGACTAGAAATATGCACTTACATACAATAAGAGTGGCATTTGAGATTGTGGGGGAAATCAAACCAGTGTCAGCACTGACTAATGTCCACTAAATGAAACTATTATTAATGTTCCTAAACTAAAGACACACAGACTTAGGTATTTTCTGCAGACTGGCAATAGAAATATTCAAAGCAAACCAAACAACAACAAAACATTATATAACTAATGGAAAGATTTGGATGACTGGAACGCCAAGAGGAAGAAGGACTGGGTGGAGTACTTGGACATGTTCCCCAGGAAACAGATGTCCTCTGCATTCAAAGATCAGTTCCCAAGTCATGCGATCATATGACTTGGTGATGCCACCAAGAAACAGCAATGGCATCACTGCCTGGGGTTTCCTGGGTAAAGAATCTAGAACAGAAGAAAAATGACGGGTGTCCCCATTCTGTGGTTATGATTACTCATGAGTTCTCCTGAGATATCTGCAAGAGAAGTGCAGAAATTGGCAGGATGTATTAGAAAAGAGAGAGGGAAGTTTTGCAATAATAGGATGAGACAGTGTTTTCTCTGCTGGAATATAAAAAATCACATAGCATGTGTTTTCCATAAAGCATAGCCTAAAGCAAAGGCTACAACCATCTTACATCTACCAGCCCAAACTGGACTTAAATATTCTGTGTGTAGAGAGCCCATGAGGGACATCTGCTTTAAGAGTGACAGTGACAAGCAACGCATTCAAGACTCCTCCTGTCTCTCAGGAGCTATTCCTATTCCCCAGTAGATTTTCCTACTGTATAAAACAGAGTGACAGTGACAAGTAACTGAAGTTGAGCCCCTACTTTCCGCTGTCTTATGAAAAGAAATGAGATGACCTGGGGTGTCGTGAACAGATCAGCTGGACCAAGTCCAAGGGAGCAAGTTAGATTTCGTCCGGTCTGTGGGCCACAAAACACAGACAAGTTCACAGAATCACCTGATTCAGTCTCCCCACAGAACTGCCTAAATACAAAACAAGGAAGAGAACCAATGTTTAGTCCAGGGGTTTGACCAAAACTACAGCAGTTCTCACACCCCATCAGAGAGGTTTGTCTTTGTGCATATAATAGACCTATAGCTTTTCTATGCTCCTCAACATTCTTCTCAGACCCCTCATAACATCCACAGTGTGTGGACTAAATGAAAAGGTGTGATCATTGTAGAAAAACACACTTGGAAATCAAAGCTCTACCACTTTGCCTGTGTGCTCCGTACTGGAGAGCAAATCCAGGGCCCCGCATAGGCTGAACACATGCTCTATTGTTCATCTACATCCCCAGCTTGACCACTTTTATTGATCTTGCCAAATGGCTTATCTTCTCCAAGTTTCAATTTCCTCATCTGCAGAATAAAAGCAAACCCTGTAGGGTTGTTGTGAGATTTCAAGAAAGCAGGTCAAAAACAAATGAAGTGGCACTCTGCAAATGATCGTTGCCATACGTTATGACATACATGTCAGAATAGGCAATTATTTTTGAGGAGGAAGATAGCAGACAAGGTTAAAAGTGGAGTATTTAAAGGGATTCACAAATTTGTATAACCCTCTGAGGAGCTGGAAGATTCTGGTAATGTAGTAAGTTGTTTTGAAAATTTGATAATACAATACACTTAGAATTTTTAAAGTATAGAATTCACTGCAAATTAAATCTATCATCCCAGTGTTGGTCAAAATTTCAAAATTGAGTCATTTTTGAAAGTGAAGATCTCAGAAAATCTCACCATGATACCCTGGACAAATTCCATAGTAACTACCATAGTAACTACCATTAACTACCATTAAACCAACTTGAAGTCAGAAACTACTCCCTTATTTTGATCCCCTAAACATTTCCATCTTATGTTTGTACACTTACTTATTATCATGATGGTAACTGCAAACACGATT